TGGTTTATGCGATCACTTTTCAGTTTAAAATCCCTTGAAGTAAAAAATATGTTAGTATCGTCCGCATATAGTAAAATATTTGCCGAATCAGTCACGTTGACAATGTCATTAATGAACAAGACAAACAAAAGAGGTCCGAGAATAGAGCCCTGCGGAACTCCACTGTTGATGTTTAGACATTCTGATTTAAATCCTTCTAATGCAACCTATTGCTTTCCATCCCTAAGATAGCTTTCACACCACGAGTAGGCTACACTTCTTATTCCATTCATATATAATTTCTTCAAGAGTAATTCGTGGTTTATGACATCAAACGCTTTTGACAGATCTATGAAAATACCTAAAGTAAGATTTCTGTTGTTTAAAGTCTTGAAGACTTTCTGAATCAATTCAAGCACAGCTAATTCGGTTGAATGCTTGGACCTATATCCATATTGACAATTGCACATTATGTTATTTACAGCCACAAACGATTTCAAACGAGTATGCATTATTCTTTCAAGTATCTTCGAAAGAGGTGAAAGAAGAGAAATTGGCCGATAATTGCAAGCATCCTCTGGGTTACCTTTTTTGAGAATTGGAACAATCTTAGAAATTTTAAAACAGGCTGGAAATATGCCTTGCGATAATGAGAGGCAAATAATATGAGCATAACTCCACTGCCGTAAATATTTAAAGAATTACTAAATATGTTATCTATTAATGTAGAAGAACAAGTTGTGGAACGAGTAGGTGACACAATTAAAGGATAAAAACAATGAGAGAGCAAAAGGTTCTGAAAGTTCAATGTGTGGTTATTTTTGGTCAGAATATTTATATTAAAGTCGCCCAATATGTACACCTCTTGAGCAGGACTGAGCTTGTGTAAAATATTTTCAAATTCATTGATAAACTTCTCAATGCTTGTATTAGGTGGACGGTAAATAGAAATGATTTTTAATGGCAATTTATTTAAATGCCTGAACCAACGTCTGCAACGTGGATGTATCTAGGGATCGTCGAATTTGATTGATTTTCCTGATTTGAAACATGCATTCGGCTGAGAGCTTCTTAATGTGTTGTTTCATTGACAAACCTGAATCAATCATGAAACCCAGATTAGCTGCTGGATGTATATGTGTATGTGTATGAATGTGCCGTGTGTGTTTTGGGACACGATTGTTTGTGATTTGGTGTATGTGTGTTTAGATGTGTTTATTGTGTGCATGTATGTATGTGTTTGTGATGTACGTGTATGCGTGTGTGTACGTGTGCGTGTGT